TCTCTCTGTGTGTGTGTGTGTGTGCGTGTGTGTGTGTGTGTGTGTGTGTGTGTGTGTGTGTGTGTGTGTGTGCGCGCGCGTGTGCGTCAGTGTAAAGAAAACTATGTAAATGGAAAAAAGATATTAAAATGTCGGTGCGGAAAAGCGATGGTAATGGAAGGAATTGTTGTTTGGACAATTATTCAGCGGGACGAAAAAACAAAAGCGAAATTCGCTGTGTAATAGGGTTGTACCATTCTTAATACCTTTGTACGAAGTATAACAGTATAATGAAAACTCTGAGAATCTCTTAATCGGTTTTGTGCTCATCAAATCTGCTCTTTGACAAGCAAAAAATTGGGGGTCATGGAGCTAACCCGGTTATTGGTTCACCGGGACATGCGGTAAAATTGGAACGATGCAGAGAGGGGAAAGCTCTTCAAGGATGGCACATAAATCGAGAGGGAAGAGAAGAGGAAGAAGGGAAAAAATGAACAAAGAGGGGGGGGGGAGGAGGAGGGGTAAGCCCTGGTATTTTGGGGAAAACAAACCTATTAAGTTTTTCACAAATGCTGTCAAACAGAATGGAAATTCACTGACCTAATCTGCTATTCGGCAGAGGAGGGGGGGGGAGCTGGACGGAACAGAATCCTTGTATTTGACTACTCTTTGGTATAATGGATGGGACTATTCGGAGATTCTGACTTGTTGTGTAGAATAGGTTTGACATTTCGGATCGCGGTAACAAAATGCGTGATTACATTCATAGACAAGTTCTCATTCGCTAAAGAAGACTGGGACTCGTCCCATTAATGTGCGATTGGCATTAAAAAAAATGGGAAACTGTGCTGGAGTCACAAAAAATGAGTTTTTATTATTGCACTAGGGGCCAAGGTACAGTTTCGGATTGCAGCTTGGGCAATGTATACAACCCAGCTTTCTGGGCAGGTAGGGTGCCCGAAGTGCAGTTGCAAACTGTATCTTGCCCCATAGTGCAATTTTAACTCCTTTTTGTGACTCTACTGAAGTTGCCCCTCAAAAAAAACCTATGCCTGGAGTCCCTGGGTGTCTTGAACGACTGATTGTGTCCTGGGACCACGAGGGACTTTTTTTTTTTCAGGTCTGCCTCGGAAATTGACGGTATTCAGTCCTCTCCACAAGTGGATTGCCTTCTATATGCAAGGTTTGAAGTTCATGTCATCCACATCCCATGTCTTGATCATGTTCTTCGAACTTCTTCCTTTATGATCCTGCGCTCGCAAACTTTAGGCACCTGACACTTAGTCTATTGGATGGAGCGTGACTGCAGTCACGCTTGAGCTCTGAGCTCAATCTCCTGCATTGATTTCTAGCGCCACTCCAGGACCTGCAAAATAACCCCTGAGCTTTCTGAAGTTAGTGCGTAGGGAAAGCTCTCATGGACAACCACTGCTCCCGAGTAGGGTCCATACCGTCCTCCTAAACAAGGATGGCTAGATTTTGTTGGTGGTTGGTCTACAAGTCTGATGTGCCCATTTGATGCTTCCATTTCACAGATGGCGAAGCATCTGTGATGCGATGCTGCACTAAAATCCAGCCTCTGCGTGGACCAGAAATTTAGCTTCGTTAACTACCTCCAGATCTTCCCTGGAGGCGACCTGTTTCCCATCTGCATACTAGTCTCAAAAATGGAAAGAACGTACTTTAGCGAGACGTGGATACAGCTGAGGGCTGATGCGGATAATACACATATATCTGTAATGCGGACAAGCTTGGAAAGTCCGACAAGCTTCTATCCAGTTGCCGCACCAGCTGAAGCCCCCTTTCCTCCTCTCCATGATGATCAGACGTCCTTGCCGATAAAACAGCAGGTCCTCCTCCTCCTCCTCCCCCTCCTCCTCCTCACCTAGCGGGTGCTGGGTGCTGCTCATACTCACTCCTTCATTTGCCTTGGAGACGCCCTGTGTAAAACAACTTGCCAGCATAACCCCAAATTTGCAGGGCGATCTTTTCTGTACAAAAACAGGGTGCACCCCCCCCCCACCGTCATCCATCACGACATCTTCCAGAGAGACAAATCCCCAAGACTTCTGTCAGCAGAGGTCTTGGGGGGTTCCAGACTCCAGAGAACCAGAATTCTGCGAGCCGGGTCAGGGAACTGCTGCAGTTTCTCCCACCTCACAGCTATAATGACTCGTCAGGCTTCACAATATATCGAACGACGATGATGTTTCCGAAGTACGGTGCTGTGTGTGCATTTGCAAGCCTTCGGTATTATTTTCTGTCCTACCACCAAGCCATATTTTTTAGAGGCCATCTGTTGATTTTGACCTAACTCATTCCTGAAT